TGTTGGAAATTTTAACTTTATGCGAAAACCACTTTACCCCAGGAGCATTCATATCGAATAATTGAGAATCAAACCGAATAAAAGCGGAAGCGTACCGTACTTCATGAATTCATTTGCTTGATAATTCTCGTGTGTTGTGTTCTTCCAAACGATCTTGTTGGACTGGTATGGTCTTCCAAACGATCGAACCTTATAGCAGATTTTGATCTGTAGTGTTTGTATTGGATATATGATTTTGTTATATTCCCTTATTCTGAAGTGAGAAGGTGAGTGCTTTTAAAGGGAGAAAGCACCCCTTCATAAATCTGCTCGTGTCTTTTCGTCGTTTGGGGCCATAACCAAATAAATAAAAAATATTGATTTTCAGTTCGGTCCCTCAACAAACAAAAAATCACATAATGGTATCTACACTTTTAAATCCATAACAATTTGATACTCTCTTTATTCAAAATAACAAATATAGTAGATCACTTTAATTGAATTATATTATGACAACTATACACATTTAATTTACATATGTTGTCCAAATTAAATATTTCTAACAAGAACCCTTACGGGAACGGACCAGTTCCACTGCTTGAGGAGAGCAAAGTGAGACTAGACTAAAAGGAGAGGAACAAACGAGCAAGCCTTTCTCCAATGGATTCTAACAACATTTTTTTTATAGATAGTTTTTATGAATAAAAAATGAATAAATCTTTGAGGAATCAAGAGATGGACAGCCAGGATCTAGACTGACTCTCTTGCCTGTGATGTCACACGTCGAAGGAGGAGTAACCCACTAGGATCATTTACCCTATCAAATCAATGTGGGACAACTCACAAGTGATATTCTAACACTAAAAAAGCCTCCATAATTCAGCACCCGTAATGACGCATAAACCAATATTCAGGAGGAACTCCTCAATCCAACTTCTTGCTTTGTCTCGAAGTAGCGTGTGTAATTTTTTCAAGGAACACAATACTAAGGGGACGATTGTTTATAAATTGTACAGTAAAAAAATTAATTAAAACTCAAATTCAACTCAACTTTAACTCAACTCACTATCTCTAATATTATCAATATAATTAAATAATATCAACTAATCATTCTTACACATTACATCAACTTTAATTCACTATTCATCCACTCATATAATTTTAATTAACCATTACTTCCAATCATTTTCTCCTACCTTTACATCAACTCAACTTTAATTATTTTATTTTAAATATTATTTTAATATATTCACTAACAACTAACCATACCACATTTTTTCAAACTTAACTATAATTAAAAAAAACTAATTTTTTACTAGTTGAATTCATATGCAATCACCCCTAAAATTGTTGGATATGATAGGAATGAACTAAATAAAACAATCATAAATTGAATTTCGTCAACCAGTTTTCTTTGTCCTACAACAATGTTCATGCAAGAAATAATTTAGTGAACAAATCAATTATTAGAAATTAGTGAACAAATCAATTTCTTTGTCCTACTCGTTAACAATTTTTCATCCTAAACCAATACGATTCTCGGGTAGAGAATACGTTTTTCACCCCCTTTTGAAAAAATCAACTTTTAGTGAACAAAACAATTATTAGAATTCTTTATAAATCCCTAAGATCCTTTTTCAAGTATCAATCAACCGATAATGGCTTCCTCTACTCTACCGATCTACCCCTTTTCTTCAAATTTCGAGCGCTGGTTGCTTTTTTTGTTGCCTTTACTCTTGATTGCACCATCGATTGGCGCATCAGAAAGTCAGTTCAAGTTGGACGGCAAGGTTCTGGAGCTCGATGACTCCAATTTTGACGCCGCAATTTCGAATTTTGATTATGTTTTCGTCGATTTCTATGCTCCCTGGTGTGGTCACTGCAAACGTCTCGCGCCTGAGGTTTGATATCATTGTGTTTTTATTGGATTTTGTTTTAGTTGTGTGGCCTTTTTTGGTGGGTATGCTTGAGCTATGGTATGGANCTCTTTCTGATTATTCTTCCGCTTTCTTTGCTTTTAATACATGAATGTTGAAGGCGACTTGTTTGGGCTGCTTTTGATCATGTTGTCCGGTAGATGTGCTGCGAAAGGCGAAACTTTCATGCCGTTCTATGATCATGATACACTACAGAATAATAATAACTTTGGTGTACTGGAATGCCGACTCTATTTATGTCCAGTAATAAACATGTAGCCAGATATTGAGATTAGGAATGGTTAATAAAAATAAGATTGTGGTTTGATGAATACTTTGATTATAGCTGATATGAAGTGCCGGGCTGTAGGTTATATTCTCTTTCTTCGTATGATGACACTTCTTCAGATTTTTCTTTTACGAAAGAACCAACGTAATGCATTCAATAATTTGTTCAACTGATGATGCTTCTTAAAATTGGACTTTAGAACCGCCTTTTATATTATATATGGTTGTATCTGATTATTGGTCCTAGAGTATGGGTGAAGCCCAGCTTGTGTATCTAGTTCAATGGAATCCTTATGCTCCATTTTCTAAGAAGACTGACTTTTGGGAATGCTGAATTGCAGTTAGATAAAGCGGCCCCACTTCTTGCTGGATTGAAGGAGCCCATAGTTGTTGCAAAGGTAGATGCTGACAAGTACAGAAAGCTTGCTTCTAAAAATAATGTTGAGTATGTTGCCTCTGCCCTGGAACCACAGTGTTCTTAGCTCTCTAGAATTAATTATATTGCTTTCTTTTAGATGAGGTGCTCTAAGACTGAATATGAATAATTTGTGTCCTAAGAATATTGGAGAGGTAATTAAAAATCTTTCTACTTGATGCAGTGGATATCCAACTCTAAAGATTTTTATGCATGGAGTCCCTACTGAGTATTATGGACCTAGGAAAGCTGATTTGCTTGTTCGGTTTCTGGCAAAATTTGTTGCTCCTGATGTTGCTGTTCTCAATTCCGACTCTGCTGTCCGAGACTTTGTCGAAGCAGCAGGCACAAGTTTTCCCATGTTTATTGGATTTGGCTTAGATGAGTCCATTATTGTAGATTTGGCTGTCAAGTATAAGAAGAAAGCATGGTTTTCTGTTGCCAAAGATTTTTCGGAGGATGTCATGACCTTGTATGATTTTGATAAGGTGCCTGCTCTGGTTGCAATTCATCCAGCCTACAATGAGAAAAATATATTTTATGGGCCATTTGAAGGTTAGCTTGTATTTGCTCGTAACTTTTTCCTTTGGAACAGTTGCTATCCAAACTGTTACTCTGTTGAAGCATGAGTTTGTTAATCTTTTTTATGGTATCCCCTATGAGATAATTATATACTCATTATGGATATTGTTTATGGTTCGGTAATCGTTATATTGGATCTATGATTTATCAAACATTTCCAAGTTCAGTTTCTTTTTTAGCGGCAGTTAAAATATTTTTGAAACGTAGATGTGTCAAATGCCTGATAGTTTAAATCTCATTTCTATCTTGGAAATGGCATGCTCTTTGGGTTTACTTGGGTATCAGAAGACATTGGGTTAGCATTGAAGTTTTTGTAATTTACTATTTTTGTGAGTAGAGCATTTAATTTCTGCACTATTTTTGGAATTTTGCTTTCTAGTTAATAGTAAATTGTCATTGATAATTCTATTTTATGACGAAACTGCAGAAAATTTTCTGGAGGATTACATAAAACAAAGTTTGCTGCCTCTGGTACTACCTATAAATCAAGACTCGTTAAAGTTACTTAAAGATGATGAGAGGAAAGTTGCTCTTACGATCTTAGAGGATGAAGTGGATGAAAAATCCAGGAAAATAATAGAAGTTTTAAAGTCTGCTGCCGCTGCAAATCGTGATGTAATATTTGGCTATGTTGGGTTAAAGCAGTGGGAAGATTTTGTCGACTCATTTGAAATCAACAAGAAAACTAAGCTTCCTAAGATGGTTGTATGGGATGGTGACGAGGATTATTATAATGTAAGTGATTCTCTCTATTATGCCGAAAGCATTCCTTCAGTATTTTCAGCGCTTTTGAGGAAATGTACGTTTTTGTGATTTGTTTTAGTTATTATCAGCAACATGTTTGATATAAACGTTCCTACCTGAGTTGAGTTCCAATGTTGGATATTTCATGGGGTATTATTCGATTCTGCTGTAAAGTATATGTTGTTGACTTACTCTGTTTATTGAATTAATAGAAAGGAAAAGGCAATATTAGCATTCTAGATGAAAAAAACTTATTTTTTCTCCTCAAGCTGAAAAACCTTATTTTCTATCCCCTTTTTGGTTTATCTACAGTTACTTTCCTAAAGTTCCTGTCAAATGTCCTTTTCTTTTTGTTTGTACAGGTTATTGGTTCAGATAGCATAGACGAAGCCGACATGGGCAACCAAGTCTCGAAATTTCTAGAAGGCTACAGAGAAGGAAGCGTGATTCAAAAACGCATCTCAGGCCCAAGCTTGATGGAATTCATAGCCTCGAATTTTGCTGTCAAGATTTTTCTTATCTTCCTATTTGTTCTGCTGGTGATGATACTGATCTTGGCAACAATGAAAGATGAACCTCAAACTGTCGGCACTCGGGTCCCGGCTGAAGATAGAAGGACCTCTGCCTCTCAGACCGAAGCCAGAGACAAAGAGGATTGAGTTTATCTTTGTAGAAAGGCCTTTGACCATGCTTTTGGAAAACAATGATCTTTATTCTCAATTTTTTTTTTTTTTTGCTTTTTTTTTTGCACTCGTTGATTGCCTAGTTCATCAGACTTGGGTCAAATTTAGTTATACTGTTTGTTGAGGATGAAAAGATGGATGATATGTAATCATCGTTTCTGTACGTTGTACAGGCCGGCGTGCTATTGTTATTTACATTGAAATTTGTTCCGTTTTCCCCTGATTTTTTATCCTCAGAACCCTTGAAAATGGACTGTAGCCCGTCAAAAAAAAAAAAAAAAAAAAGGGAAAATGGAACTGTAGAGTATAGACTGTAGTTGGGTAGGTTCAATCCAAACAAAATGATGGAAGTCTGACGAGAAGAAGTATAAGCAACATAAATACTTCTAAGAAATACTATAAGCTAAGACTAGCTAGGATTTTTGCTGCATTTTCACTTGGTAAGTTAACCTTTAATCAAGGACAATGACTATCATAATCAGTCTCGTGTCTCGACCAAGTATCATTGTAAGCAGGAAAATGTTGAATAATTACTCGTGCAGTCTCTGAAAGTGCACGGCCTTGCAATTGTTGGCGGATATCTTCCCTCGTATGTCGACTCCACCGAGGTTTATGTTTGCGCTCAACCGACCTTCCGAACCTAAAGTGCCAATTGGGACAGCGGCTTATCTGCATTTGCTCGAGACATTCTGCATTTTCGAGTATGTACAATGCAAATTCGATCTCGTTTCTATATCCACAAAATCCTGTTATTTCCACTCTTTTCAACTGTGAATGAGTTTCTGCATTCTGTGGCCTCATTGCTTTAGGTCCATCATCTTGTACAAATTCAGTCTGCATAATAAAGAAACTTTACTTTGTTTATGAGATATTCACTACTCCCTCTTTTAGATGTCCCACATAGATATGCATGTCACTTTAAAAAAGATTGTGATAAAAGAAAACATATATTTGTAAATGCTACAAGAGTGTTGTTTTAGAAAACTTACATCCAAGTGAAACTCGAGTAAGAGCGGGCAACTCTGCAGAAGTGGAATTATCCCCAGAAGCATATTCGTGTAGGCTGTATGAGAAAGCTGCAACCTTAATTGTCTAAGGTTACTATATGTGTTAATCAGACCAAACGTGCTAGCCTGAGAATTAAGAAAATCCGAAGGTAAGATCGAAAACTTATATATACATATCTAGAAAAGAAGAAGTTTTTTTTTATTCCCATACTCGATTAATATCATATTCGCTAGCCAAAGTTAACGACTTGAGCTGATTGGGCGGCAATACAGAGGGAAGTCTAACACAAACTTGATACATAACGTCTCGTTGAAAGCCATCATAAGACATGCTCTCCAGACGAGGGACATGATCAAACGTGAGCTCGATTATTTTTCTGCTGCTCTTGAACTCGAACGTAACAAGATTACTGGCACACAGCTCGATCTCCTTCACCCGTATGCACTCCTCGATTTTGAGATGCTCCAGTCGAAGGTTGGGCCCACGGATAAGCAATGTAGGACTAGAAAACTTACAGTAATCCATCCTCAACGAACAGAGGCCCAAACAAGCCGACAGGATGAGGTCTAGTGCACCGTCGACTAGAGTAACTTTACTCAACCTCAGATTCCGTAGGGACATATTATTTGTATAAAATTCGGGCAAAAATTCCTTGCTTGAGTTAACCTCCAAGTACCTCAAGCCAGGCATACAGTAAAGAATGTAGTGGCAACTACAAAGCGAATAAGCACAGAACGAATAGTAAAAGCAGGGCTTTGGCAGAGAACAACAACATCGAACAACGAGTTTCTTAACATCGGCTGTGTTGATGTTTCCAAGGTACTTAAGGAATTCCCAGAAAGCAGCTCCATTGTCAGAAAACGACATGTGTGACTTAATCAGACAACAACAGAAAACGAGACTATGGATTTTAGAACCACATCGAAAGTATAAATACTTTGAGGATATACGATGGCTATCAAACGACTTAAAGGACGAGGAGTGATGATGGAGTTGAAGTTGATATCTATATTGCAATGACGATACAGATATGCTTGGACCATATCGAATAAGTAATGATTACGGTGAAAGAGATGATGGCAGCGAAAGTCGAGGTTGAGGTGTACGACAAATTTGTAAATGGTGGTCCAGCGTTTGGACAAGACGCTGGTTTGGATAGTGTCCTTGACTGGAAGTCGAGTGAGGATGGAGATGAGGAGACAGTCCGGTAGTTCGCCAATGAGGTCACAGCGAAGAATTTGTATCTGTTTTCTCCTTTTTCTTGCAAAGTCTAGGAATCTGTAGGTCAGTAGAGTGAACCATGTTGATAAAAGTATGGGTGCTATAGAGATCTTCATGGCTAACAGAGAGAGAGAGAGAGAGAGGAGGATTTTGAAGAAGAGAAACCAAGTCTTGGTTCCAAATTAGATGAACAGTCTTCATGATTAAATTTTAGATTGTCTTTCAGAACAAGTAACCAAAATAATATTAACAATAATCACTGAATAAATAAAAATAGTTTACCTGCACACTCATCAGTTAAAGCCTTTTTTATTTTTTTTAATTAACTTTTACATGTATAATATATTGTACCCAAATCATGTAAAATACCCGTTTTGCATGTGAACATTATAATGACATTAGAATTACAATATTTGCTAATAATATTTGGTTAATAAAAAAAAGTGCAAGATTTATGTAAGAGAACCATCTAAAAGAATTGTAAATAGGTTTTATTCGAAAATCTAAAATGTACATGAGTTTTAGATTTTTACAGAATGTTTATTATCCTTTGATTACGAATTAAATCATCATTTTTTTTAACTCTTCATAATCATATTTAAGAATATTGTACAGTAGCAACATATTATTGTAAAATAATAATAATAATAGTAACAACAATAACAGGATTAATATTAAAAAATAGATTAATATTTAGAGTATTGCTCGAGAAGTAGGAGAAGAATAGATAATAGAAAAGTATTTAGAGCAGTAAATTAATAATAGAAAATGTATATATCTTGTGAGGGGAGGTAAGATCTAGTTTTTGGGTATGGTGGTGGGGTATTTTATTTGTGAGGGAGGTAAGATCTAGTTTTTAGGTTTTGTTTCTGACTGGGGTGTTTGAACAAAATTATGTGTTAGCTGTTATTTCAGTGTTGTATATGTGTTTCCAGTTTACCGCGTATTCAATAAGCAAATTTCAAAAAAGAATTAAGAGTTCAATAAGTAAATAATAAATATTGCCTGTTAAATTTAAAAAGTTAAAAAATTATACATAAAAATAGACTTAAAATTTTATTACAAGTGTTTTTCAAGTACTTCAATTCACATTTTTATGTTGATTAAACTTAAAGATAATATTATGTTTCTAGCAATCAAAAAAGTACTCGTGTCAATTATAACAAAAATTTCCCCACCCTAATTTTAGGTTATATTTTCTCCGAAAAAAAAAAAAAAGAATTTCCCCTTATGTCCGAGCTAGTATGATCAATCAAGTCCCAACCAGAGTTTTATTTAATACAATTCGTTCTAGTCTACACACCTAAACCAAACAAAAACACTCACCTATTTACTTTCCAGCAAACAAAAACAAACACAAACAAAACATATTGTCAAATTCATCAACCCAACAGTAAGTATTTCCTGAAGTCCCTATATCTAACAGGCATTATTATTCTTCTCCCTGCTCAAAAAATCCATCACAAGTCTTGCCCTCCACCACCATATGTAGGTTCAAATCTTCAAGCACCTCATAAAGCTCACCCACATCCGATTCAAGAGCTTTTCCAGCCGAAAACGTGCGAACCTTCTTCTTCACCTCAATCCAGCTCTGCCCGGGCACTTTCTTCAGACCCCTCGTTCGAGCCCTCATCCTCACATTAGCCGACTCATCCCACATTCCGCTCGACGCATATAAATTCGAAAGCAGCATATATCCACCTGTCCCCACACGACCATGACCAAAAAAACGAGAAGCAGTCTTTTTTGCAAAATCCATGTTTTTATGCAATTTGCAAGAATTCAACAAAGCTCCCCAAACAGGTGCGTTTGGCTCCATCGGCATGCTTCTCAAGATTTCACCTGCTTCCTGCAGAAGCCCGGCCCGCCCGAGAAGGTCGACCATGCAAGAATAATGCTCTACTTTGGGCTCAATTCGAAATTCTTTCACCATCAAATTGAAAAGCCTTTTACCTTCGGAAACAAGGCCTGAGTGGCTGCACCCAGAAAGAACAGCAACAAAAGTAATTTCGTCTGGGTTAAAATTTGAATTCACCATCTGGTTAAAAAAATTCACAGCGGTTATCCCAAGTCCGTGCATCCCAAAACCCGTGATCATTATATTCCACGAGGTCACATCTCTAGAAAGCATTTGTTCGAATATCAAGTTTCCTGTTTTCAAATTACCGCATTTCATGTACATGTTAATTAAGCCGTTAGCTACCAAAGTATCGTGAGCCATGAATTTTCTCACGGCATGGGCATGGATTTCTTGTCCGAGAGACAAAGCTGACAGCTCAGCACAAGCTGATAACACACCCCCGACTGTTACAGCATTTGCGAACACCCCAGAAAATTGCATCTGCCGAAAAATTTCTAAAGTCATCTCTTTGTTATGTTCTGTGCCGGCAAATGCATTAATTACTGCAGTCCAGGTAATCACATTTGGCCTCACTAATGAATTGCCATCTAAACTTTTTAACCTGAAAAATGCATTGTACGCCTCATCACAAAAACCCGACTGAGCATAAGCTGATATCAACGCGTTCCAGCTTATTATGCTCTTAAATTCCAGTCCGGCGAATAAATTTTCCGCATTTTCAACAGCACCCATTTTCCCGTACATGCTTATAAGAGCATTCCTCACGAATACATAATTTTCAAAACCTGCCCTTGCCACGTGTCCATGTACAATCTTGCCTTTGACGGGAATTTCATCACAGGCAGATATAACGACAGCGACTGACTCGGCTGTGATGTCGACGCCTTTCTCTCTCATTCGAACGTAAAACTCCCATGTCTTGTCTATGTGACCACACCTCGAGAAACTGGAAACTAGCGAGGTCCAAGTCACGGAATTTGGGACCCACCCATCGTTCTCCATCCTACTAAACACTCGAAATGCGCTGTCACAATCATTGCTTTTTGCGAAAACAGATATCATAATATTCCAAGTGACAATACTTCTTAGAGGCATTTGATCGAACACATTGGAAGCAATCTTGGTCCAGCCAATCTCCCCATACATCCCCACCAACTCGTTACCAACATGCAAATTTCTCACAAGTCCCATTTGTGTAACATGGCTATGAACAACTTCACACAACCTAACATCGCCTTTCATGGCACACGCCTTTATAATCAAGGGAAAACCGAACCTATCAGGATGAACGTTAAATCTGCGCATTTGCTGATACAATTCGAGAGCATTTTCGTACCTGAAAGTCGAAACATAAGCCCGCAGGATGGAGTTCCAAAGAAGGGAGCTAAAAAGGCATTCTTGGAAACATGTATCGAACACTTTCCGCGCATCGATCAAGAGGGATAGTTTAGCGTATACTGCTACGAGCCTGGCCGACAAAAATGGCGAAACATTTGAGGATGTGAGCGCGATTTGCGAGTGGATCTGTTTGACCGGCCGTTCGACGTTGTAGCTCCGGTCAACTCCGCCGACGCAGAGTTGGAGAAGACGGTCGAAGGAATCAACGAGCTCGCCATTGTTGGACTGTTCATGAATCGTTCGAAAGTGATGAGGTACTGGGAAATCAGATTCGGAAGGGGCGTTGAATCCCGAGCAAGGGCCGGTGAATTTAGGCGGCGCGTGATAGAAACGCTTGTATGGAAAAGAACGAAGGATCATCAAGCATCGACGGCTTGAATGCTTGCAAGCTTAGGCGAGAACGCGCTTTTTTAATTTACTATATTTTCAGTATCAAACGGTAAACGAGTGGAGCCGAGTCAAGCTTAAGGTCCAAATGATTTTCAAGTTCTCTTTGGCTAACATGCCGATTGATGATACAAGAAATACCTGACGTTAGTCAGAGGAAACGTGGTGATGATGTATGCTCCGACGTCCTCCTGAAGTCGTCTCCTTTGCTCCGATGCCTGCAAAACAGAACCCCGGGGTTGTCCCCAGGGGTAGACCCTCCGATGCCTAAGTTAGAATAGGTGTTAGGTTTTTCAGATGGTGGCTGTAAATGCGTAGAGAAGAGAATAGCCTTTACCTTGACCTAGGCCATCCTTTTATAGAGGTAGGATGACCTAGGTCTTCCCTATGCAAACGGAGGATTTCCCAGCCCATTGGCTTAGTGGACTCTGGTCCACCAGTTGGGCTATATTTAGACCAGGGCCTAAAGTGAGATTTCTCAGGCGCTTGGGCCTAAGGTGAGACTCCTCGGGTCCTTAGGCCTATCCTGAGGTTAGGCTTCAGCCTTGACCTTGGACAATAACGGTCTCTGGAGTACACGTGTCTTTATTCTCTCGAGCCACGTGTCGCCTAATAAAAGTATATTTTTTCCCATATCACTTGCCCCCCATTTTATGTACGCGGTAATTTTTACGCGTACAGAAAATAAGCAGTCAGACTTTTACAGATGAATATCTGCATTTAGCGACTTTCCAGTACAGTTGCACAGACAGACAGTCAAGCAGTTTGCTATAAAGTGCCTCACTCTCATTTCTCTTCTCACTTTTGACTTGATCTTTTCTAGAGAGAGAGATAGAGAGAGAGAGAGAGAGAGGGAATCAAGCACTTGGGATTGCATCAATTTTTCACGCTCGACGTCGGCCTTCGAAAGTCCTCAGACCCTGGTAATTTTTTCTTACCATGTTATTATTTCTTCATGTCTTTGGTGCTAGTTATCATTCACCGACGTCAGTAGCGTTGGCATTTACCTCGGTAGTCCGAGGATTAAATTTTTTAACACCTTGGTAGGCCAAGGAGCTTCTTCGTAGACTTCGGTAGTCCGAGGACTAATTTTTTGAACACCTCAGTAGGCCGAGGAGCTTCTTTGTAGACCTCGGTAGTCCGAGGACTAATTTTTTTTTTAACACCTAGGTAGCCCGAGGAGTTTCTTTGTAGACCTCGGTAGTCCGAGGACTAATTTTTTGAACACCTCGATAGACTGAGGAGCTTCTTTGTAGACCTCGGTAATCCGAGGACTAAATTTTTTGAACATCTCAAAACTTCTTAGGACACCTTGAGACCTTAGGACCTTGGACTTTGGGGATAGTATCTTGACCTTGAGTACACCTTGGGACCTTGGACTTTGGGAATAGTATCTTGACCTTGAGTACACCTTGGGACCTTAGAAGGTATTGTGCCAAAAAATCTCAAGACATAGACCTTGGAAAATAATACCTTAGACCTTGGGTAGGAAACATCCTTGGACCTTAGGATGTCCAATCGAATACCTTTTACCCTTTCTTCCAATTTTTTTTTTTAATAACTCTAGCCCACATGAAAGTGGGCAACTTTTTCATTTTTTTTTTTAGCCCACATGAAAGTNTTTTTTTTTTTTTTGAAATTTCCAGCGCCCCACGTGGGCTTGGCCGTCCATTAGCTGTTGTGGTTTAACCTTCCAACACCATCAAAGTGGCAGCCTTCTTTCTTGGACTAATTAATCTTCAGCCCACTGCTTTTACTTTTATCTCTCTCAGCAAAAGTATACTTACCCACAGAGGTTTCTCTCTTCTCCTCCTACTGGTTCAAAGGACTTGGAGAGCTATCAGAGGCCATTGAAAATACAAACACCTTTAAGCCTCCTCCATTTTCCACTTGGAACCAATTTATTTGAAGGCTCACTATGTGGGATCCAGCCAAATTCCATATGGTGTCCAGCCACAAACAAACAAAACTAAAAGGTTGGCAGTAAAAGAAAATTGAGAATGGGATGGCAGGAGCCCACCATCACCGAAAGCAAAAAGAAAAAATAATAAAAAAATGTGCAATTTGTTTATGACAGTGCAGGTTTTGTCCATTCCTCCTATCTATAAATAGAGGGGTACTCAGCCAAGGAAATACACACCAAGCGAGAAGAAAAAGAGAGAGCAAGAAAAGAAATAAAAAATATTTCTTGTGAGTGTTATTTTTCAGTGAGAGAAAAATAGAGTGTTTGAGTAAATCCTGTGAGTGTAGGAAAAATACACCGGGTCGGGTATCATCTCTATTGCTCCTTGTTTGTAATATTTGAATAGGAGTGGGGTCTCACTGGGTCACTATATTTTACATTTCTAGTATAGGGGGTGTGAAAAGATATTGTAATTATCTTGAAAATATAGTGGAATTGTTCGGAGGTTGTCCCGTGGTTTTTTCCTCTAATTGGAGGTTTTTTCACGTTAAATCTTGGTGTCTTATTTCTTGCATATTTTATTTATTTGGGATATTCTTAGTATGCTCTGTGGTTGCAGTTTAATCTGATCTTCCACATCAGAAAAGAATTATTCCTATTTGATTGCAAGAGATTTTATTCTTGAGTTGCTGAGATTATTATTATTATTCACCATTTCAAGTTGGTGTTTTAATTCCTTGGGCATACTCCAAGGTTTGTATAACCTTGTGCATGAGACTCCTTTCCCGTGTAATCCAAGGACTCAAATCCTTGCCTTCCTTTTGTTCTTAGCAAGAAAGAACTAACATACCTCTTTATTTCAATTTTATTCACCGCTTAGGTTCGAGCTATATCCCGTGGACTCCTTTGTCACTTAGTCTTATTTTTCTTTTGTTTCCACCTCTTACGTCCTTGGTTGCATTTTCAGGTTTGAAAATGTCCATGGACTTTAATGAGTCTAGTGATGACGAAATCCTAGCCCGACAGCTCCACCGACGTGGCCGCAAAGCTAACGTTCATACTGATGGAGTCGTGTCCAAACTTGTAGAAGATGACATCCGTATGTTCTATGCCAAATGTTACATTCCTGACACTTGGAATTTCTATATTCCGGAGCCCGAGGAAGGAAGTTTTGACGAAGCTCCTCCCGGATGGCTTTGTCTTTACGAAGACATGTTCAAATGCGGTCTACGGTTCCCTCTACACCCGACCATCATTGAGATCTTAAATTTTTACAACATTTCTCCCGCTCAGCTAACATCTAACGCTTGGATGATTATTGTGGGGTTTGTCCTCCTCGGGGCCTCAGTATCCATACCCACGAACGCTAGAGTCTTCAGTTCCATTTACCGCCTCCAAAATCACCCTAGTTCCGAAGGTCTTTTTTATGTTGTGTCGAGGTCATGTTCTAAACCCCTGGTAGAAACTTCCAAAGACACAAAATATTGGAAGTCCAAGTACTTCTACGTTTATTCAAGTGATCCTTGGAACTTCCCCTCTGATTGGAGCGACGAGGTTTGTCAGCCCGTTGAGTCCGAGCTCTTCAATGACGAGGAAAAAGCTACGTTGGCTATTTTGCTCAGAGGTCCAGCGAGCTTAGCCTTTTTACTAAAAGAGAAGAACCTGATTGCGGCTCGCTTGAGCCATGCTCCACCGACTAAAATTGTCGACCTTAGTGCGAACAAACCGTAGTCTTTAATAAGTATTGCATGTACTCTTATTTTTTGTATCTTGATTTTTACCCGTTTCTTTCGTTCTTTGCTTAGGTATGGAGGTGAACAAAGCCAAAAGGATCAAGATTAATGTGAACAGGAGCAAGGTCGTGGCTGACGCCACCCAGAGGCTGGAGTCAGGAGTTCCCCCAAGAAAGGTGCAACGGCCTTGTATTTCGAGGCCTCCTCCTCCCCGGATGTCTCCAGTCTCTGAGGTTGACTTGGTCGCTGGCGAGGGCAGCGGAACCGGAGGTCCCCAGATGCTTATCGAAGGAGGCCTTCACCATGTCTATCATCCATCGGATAAGTTCATTCCGGAGTGGGATGTCGGTGTCGATGACAGTCTGTTGGTTCGTGACACTGCTGTGAAGATGATGAGCCACCTTTTACCTCGTGGAGATAGGGAGGGTCTTCAGGTCGCAACGTCTGAGGAGCTGTCTGATGATGGCTATGAGTACTTAGCCAAGGTAACTAAAATTTTCATTGTTCTTCTTATGTTGCTTCCAAAATTTTACTAAGTTTTTTCTGTCTTTCAGCTTCTTCGCACTCACCAAGGCATGGTGGACAAGATTGCCTATGGGAGCCGGAGGATTCTTGAGATGAGGGACCTACTCCAGCGTAGCGAGGCCCTTCAGACGAAAGCTGAAGAGGAAAGCGAACGACATCATACGGAGGTGACGCGCTTAAGGGCTCTCGTCGAAAAGCTCGATCTGAGGATTAAGGGTATGGACTTGAGCCTTGACGAGGCTAACAAGAAGGCGGAGGATGCCAGTAAGAAGGCTGAGGACACTGCTGAGGCGAACTCGGATTATTGGCTCGACGGGTTCGATGCCTGCAGGCAGCTAGTTGGTACCCTTGACCCTTCGTTTGACCTTATTCGCCTTGTTCCTGAGTCTGTTGATCCCCTGACAGGCGAAGAGGATGTCGACCCCGCAGCTGCTGGAGGTGTTTGATTGTCGCACTTGTTGTTTTATTTGTTGTCCCACAGACGGCGCCAATTGATGATACAAGAAATACCTGACGTTAGTCAGAGGACACGTGGCGATGATGTATGCTCCGACGTCCTCCTGAAGTCGTCTTCTTTGCTCCGATGCCTGCAAAACAGAACCCCGGGGTTGTCCCCAGGGGTAGACCCTCCGATGCCTAAGTTAGAATAGGTGTTAGGTTTTTCAGATGATGGCTGTAAATGCGTAGAGAAGAGAATATCCTTTACCTTGACCTAGGCCATCCGTTTATAGAGGTAGGATGACCTAGGTCTTCCCTATGCAAACGGAGGATTTCCCAGCCCATTGGCTTAGTGGACTATGGTCCACCAGTTGGGCTATATTTAGACATTGGGCCTAAAGTGAGATTTCTCAGGCGCTTGGGCTAAGGTGAGACTCCTCGGGTCCTTAGGCCTATCCTGAGGTTGGGCTTCAGCCTTGACCTTGGACAATAACGGTCTCCGGAGTACACGTGTCTTTATTCTCTCGAGCCACGTGTCGCCTAATAAAAGTATATTATTTCCCCATATCACCGATAAATGAGCGACTCGTCTCAGTTTGAGTTCTTGATAATCCACCTTCGGCTCAAGCTATTTGAGCCGAGCTATTTAACGAGCCAATAAACAAACGACTCATCTCTACTCGATTTCCTGATACTCAAGTTTAGGCTCGAAGTCTAATTAAACTGATCTAGTTCCTGATATTCAAGCTTGCAAGCATACCCAGTTAACGAGTCAATGCATACTCATTTTGACTTGAGGGGTAACTTCTAGAGGTGTGCATAATTCGACTAAAATCAACCAAACCTTCGGGTTTTATCCGACTCGGTCGGTTTTCAATTTTTAGTTTATAAATTGTCGGTTATTTCGGTCAGTGTCGGTAAATAATCGAACCGAGCAAATAATATATTTATATATGTATAAATTTTAAAATGTACAGATCGATCGGTTTGATCAAACCGACAAAGAAGTTCGGTCGGTTATTGTTCGGTTAAAATTGATAATTCTGTCGATTTCGGTTATTGGCATAGTGGCAAGATGGCGTGACATTCAATTTTCACAAAGAAAAAGATCCTTTCTTGGCAGCATTAAGTACATTACAATTGAAATCGAAATAAATCATGAACAAAATCTTGAAACTATCCTCAACAAATACCCTCCAACAAAAGCACATACATGTGAAGTCATAGTTACAGAAAAACACAGAGCCAAAAATATCAGTTATTCTTGTTTCGTGTCCCGTGAATACAATTCAGATTCACTTTGGCCGGGCTGCTTAATGCTAGCCTTCGCATCTGCAAGAAATTTATGATCGGGCTCGTGTTTATGTGAAGGCTCTTTCATGGCCATGTAAATGTAAAATGCTATGACCACATTGACCGAGATGACCGCAAGGACCCCACTCCATATCGTGAGAGAGTCGTGAGAGATGTGAGAAGATCCTGCCATATATGCATAAAATATGAGTGCAGCAAATATCACACTTGAAACAAAATCAACGTAGAGAATCAAATCATAGACGAGCCCACAGCATAAAATATCCCTTTCTATTTCCCTAAGAAGCTTTCATGCTCATTGATGTAGTGTCGTGTGGAGACACTTAAGATTCTTATGATAGTTTGATTAGTTAGTGAAAGTAAATGTGCAATGAAAGTTTAGTTTGTTTTCGAATCACATGTCTGTCTGCAAAGAAATATACTTCTTACAAGATATTGTTTCTCTTTTTTCCAGCACCTTGAATTGCTCAATAGCAAGTCTTTAAGCTAGTTTTATCAGTTCTCCCAAATAAAACGAGACAATTTTGGAGCTACTCAAAGAAATAATGGGTGCGCAAGTGACAAGTTACTTCAAGAAACGTGCACCGAAAATCTTTTTTTTTTTTTTTCATGATAGCATTACGGTTCTTGGGCCACAGCTTAAGGGTGTAAGGAATCACATAAAATGGCATGCTCAACACGTTTAAATTACATCGCTTTAAGTCGGCAATAGAAGCTTACCAGGGAAGAAGTTATGGTTAAACCCGTACAGAATAGCAATAGGAGCTGCAAGCAAGCATATAGATGCTATGGAAAACTTGATTAAGACCCCTACCATTGTTTGATCAACCTAGTCCAATTGCATGAAGCATTATTGCCATATTCAATCAACAAACTATACAGTACAGCTGTACAGGTCAAGTGAGAAAGAAACACTAGTGTAGCACAATTTTGTGAGGCAAAATCCCAAACACTTGCTGTGCAACACAAGATCTCCAAATAAAAATTACCAGAGATCCCATTTTCTTCTCCTGAATCAATACTCATACTAAAGATGTTAAACGAAAGGAGCTCTTCGTGAGCTCGGGGCTCAGGTTTTGCAACACAATCTCCACATAAAATCACCAAAGATCCAATTTTTATTCTCATGATTCATCCTCAAAACAAGAATCCCACAATGCTATTCCATTTTATTCGATCTAGTTAACAAAAAAATCAAAGAAAAGATCAACTTACTTCAGAATTGAGCACAACTGGGAGGTCTGGATTATCGTTGCCCTTCCTCTTCTACTCGTGAAGTGAGCTGAACCCAAGAACTGAAAACCAGTTAGCAGAAGAAATGGGTTTCGCTACCATCAGAGAGTGATAAAGGTTAGACACCACTTTTTCCCCAAAATTAAAATATGTATTTATGGCATTTTCTCCATTTTTATTTTATTTTATTTTTTTTCTTTCAAGGGTTGCGTGTAGTGTACTTGCATAATATTCGGTAAAGTTATTTCCTTTTTATTTATTCAGAGGTCATGAAACTGCTAAACCCCCGCTTTTTCACCTCCTCTTGCAGAACCCCTCGTTATTGTTTCTCCTTATTAAACCCCTTCAAATTTTCGCCACCCTCTGCTCGGCCCCCTCTGCCCGCCCGCAGTTCGCGGCTTAGTAATCGCGTTTGCACCTTCTGCATATCCAGAGGTACTTCGACGGTAGCAGCGATGTGCGCATCTCCGCCGTCCGTTCATGTGAAGGACCGTATTGATCTGACGGACAAGGAGAAGCAGATATTCGACCGTCTTCTCCAAGTCCTGAACCACTTCAGTCTCCAGACGCAGCTTAGGGTCGCCGGCGGCTGGGTTCGCGATAAGGTTGTTCCTTCTTTTTTTAAGCACTTCCAATGAATTTCCAGTTGTAGAGAAATGTAATTGTCGTGTGTGACCATATTTCGAACTGCAATTTTGATTTTGCAAGGAAAAGAAATTACAGCTAGATTTTAAATGTCGAAATTTCAGTAGAAATATATGATTCTTGGTGGTTTTGTGCTACTTCTTGTGCATCCATTTTCACAAATGGTCACTTGTTCTTACTGCAGCTTTTGGGGAAAGAATGTTTCGATATCGATATTGCCCTAGACAATATGCTGGGGAAGGAATTTTGTGATAAAGTGAACGAGTATTTATCTTCTAAAGGTGAAGAGGCTCGAGGAGTAGGTGTCATACAGTGGTACTTCACTCGAACTTTCTGATTTACTGAAAACATCATTTTTTTCATTTGTGGGGATTGCACAAAAGATTCTAGAATTCTTGGTTTAAAAAATTGGTTTTTGTATTATGATGATTCCTGCAGCAATCCCGATCAGTCGAAACATTTGGAGACAGCTAGAATGCGCCTTTTTGACGTTTGGATTGACTTCGTGAACTTAAGATCCGAGGACTACAGTGAGAATAGCCGTATCCCTACAATGGTGCGCATTATGTGTTTTCAAGAAACTAGGCAGATGATTTCATTATGCATTGTCTTAAAAGGAAAAAGAAAGAAAAAAAAAAAAAGATGAAAATATATTAGGGCATTTGCATTGTTTTGTTCTGCAGAGGTTTGGCACTGCTGAAGAGGATGCTTACAGAAGGGATTTAACTATCAATAGGTTCATATCTTTAATAACTTATATGTGATCTCTCTCTCTCTCTCTACACACACACACACACACACACACACTGTGCGAGGCTATTTAGTTGTTGATCCCTGAGAATGGGATTGGTTTTGATATCATAAACTCGGACACTTTAACTTACCTGATTTTAATTTTCTATTTAACAGCTTGTTCTACAACATCAATACGAGTTCAGTCGAAGATTTCACAAAAAGGGGTAATGCAAGTTTATGAATTGCTATCGAAATCTCGTATGCACCTTTGATCCTGACCATAGCAATTACCCTTTGCTCCCGTTGATTCTCCTTCTATAAATTTCTAATAGGAATTGAGGACTTAAAAGCTGGAAGGATAGTAACTCCATTACCTCCAAAGCAGACATTCTTAGACGATCCACTTCGAGTTCTCCGAGCTATACGTTTTGGTAATCAATGCATTAATTACTATTTGCTTATACGTTTTTTGTAAAACAATTATTAGGAACTGATGATATAGAATATAATTAGGTGCAAGGTTTGGATTCTTGTTGGATGAAGAACTGAAGATAGCTGCTGCAGATAATGATGTCAGAGAAGCTATTGCTGATAAAATCAGTAGAGAGCGTATTGGTCATGAGGTTTGCATTCTGTACTGGTCACATTTCTTGTATTACGTGACAGGAGAGTGCATATTGAATAACAGTTGTGGGGTCGAATCTTAAATTTTCAGTTTTCGTTTGTTAATGCATGCTTTTTTAAATATATCATATTTTTTTTCAGATTGATCTTATGATTTCTGGAAATCAGCCCATGAGAGCAATAGCCTATGTCTCTGAGTTGCAGCTCTTTTGGGCTGTATTTAGCCTTCCAAGTGAGACGGAACCTTCATCTCCAGAAGGATGTGACAGGTGGGATTTTTCCTTTTCTTTTCAATGAACTAGAATAAATTGTCATTTCATTTTTTAATAGTACTTAAAAATATTTAAAATATTAAATTTTGGGCTGCATCCACATTCAATTCCAACTTGTAAAGATATATGTTTGTGATTAACTCTCTCTCTCTCTCTCTCTCTCTCTCTCTCTCTCTCTCTCTCTTTGTNCTTTTCTTTATGGATATATGACCAGACTTTGCCTTGCTTACATGGATACATCATGGAGATTTTTGCAATCAGTAGGATCTTCCTTCGATGTGAGATTTTTACATCGAATCAACTTTAACCTTTATATTTCCATCTTATTATGAGGTTCATTTTTCGAAGTACTAATTTTCTCCGCGAAACTTCTTTTCACTAGTGGAATAAAATTTTCCAACAAAATTATATACACAATCTTACTCGTAACATTTATTTTCCAGATAAACATCAATTGTTCAGAAATGTAGCATTGTATGCTAAAACTCTGTCTCTGTAATCAATTCTAGCTTTAGTACTTTTTTGGCAATCAATTCATTTTTTGTTTTTTTTTAGGATGAAGAGAGGAGGCTCTGCCTTTATGCTGCTCTGTTCCTTCCCTTTAGAAATGTTATTTACAGAGAGAAAAAAGGCAAAAAGGTAAAAATAGCATGATTCACCAATTGCTTGTCGTATATTTCAATGTTTTTATCATTTATACTTACTTGAAAACTACTATTATCAGATACCGGTAGTAAATTACCTCTTCAAGACATCTCTCAAGCTGAAGAACAGTGATGCAGAAACTGTATGATCTTTAATCTCTTCAAATTTTTGTAGTTACAAGCTGCTACAATTGTTATACCTTGATTTTCATTTATAAATAATGGTAAATTCAAGCAAAAAATTGTCCTATAATAAATAATCATTCTGCTGCAGGTAATCAGCTTGCATCTTGCAGCAAAAAAATTCCTGCCTTTGATTCCTTCGCTGATCTCCGATGAGAATTTGCAAGCTCTTCAAGTCGACAAGAAAACATTAACTATTGATGTCCCTGCAGCTTTACAACTCAGAATACTGACCGGTAACGTAAATCATACTCTTAAAAATTAAAATCACTTTTTTTTTTTTTTTTTAACATTTTCAGCAATATAATTTTAAGTTAAAATTTGTTACATTGTCCTGAAAATGTATAGCAGAATTCCACAGATTTCAGATTTCCATATAGAAATATTTTGTGACAATTGACTAACATGCTTTCATATTTTTTTCCTTTTTGCTCGTTTTTTCCTTATTACTTATGCATAGGATTGCTGCTTCGAGAAATCAAGGAATTTTGGCGGGCTGCATTGGTTCTTTCTCTGCTCTTATACCCTGCAGATATTGGTTTGAGTGAAAATTTGTCAGTTGAGTACACGGAATTGAACGAGAGAATAGAAATATATAACAGTATTGAGAAAGCAATCCTCGAAATGGGTATGTTATATGCTTAATCGGTCATGCTTTCAGTTCTTCACTCATGACTTGAAATTGATGCACTGGTTTTTAGCCGGAAAAAAAAATTAAAAAACCCAGCCATTTACAATCATTTGCTATCGCCAAATAATAATAGTAAGTAAATAAATGTTTGAAATAAGATTTCCATGTTTTGTTCTATTCTCAAATCAAGAGTGATAGATAGTTGAGCAATCATTCAAATATAATATTGGGAAGTTTTTGTGGCAAATAATTTTTCCTATAATTTCCTTTTTTTCCCCTTTTCTTTAACAGGGCTGGAGAAAGTCTGGGACTTGAAACCACTGGTGAATGGTAAAGACATCATGAGCGTTTTGGAGCTAAAAACGGGAGGGCCCGTCGTGAAAGAATGGGTAAAGATCCTATCTGCTCAAGTCCACCATAAACCGCGGGCTTGCTACACTCGATACTAAAAACATTATTNTTACAGCAACAAAAATTGCTCCAGTGGCAACTCGCGCATCCTTCTGTATCTGCAGATGAGTGCATTGATTGGATGAGGCAAAACCACTCAAAACGCGCCAGGATAGAGTAACTTTGTTCACCCAAATTCTCACATTAATGCTAAAAAGTAGCTTTTATGAATTTTCGATTTTGTGTACAGAAGTTTTCCCGGAAGAACTTTATTCCATACGGATAGATTAGGGTTATGTTTGGTAGACCAATAAGCTAGCTTATAGCTTATTCGGTTAGCTTATAAGCTTCCTGTTTTCAAATAAGTTCTGTTTGGTAGGACGGACTTTTTTAAAAAGCTCGAGCTTATTTGATAAGCTTCTTTGGGTAGCTTTTCAAATAAGCTCATTGAAATTTTTATTTCAGCTAGCTTATCAGCTAGTTTTACCAAACACTTTTATCATATAAGCTAGCTTTTCAGCTATAAGTCATAAGCTATAAGCTATAAGCTCAAAAATTACTGATAAGCTATAAGCTAGTTTATCAGCTGTCAGCTAGCTTATCAGCTAGTTTTACCAAAATAGCCTAGGTTATAAGCTTCGAAATAGTTCACTTTGAGTGATATTGAAAGAATAAAGAGAGGCTTTGGTGTTTTCAAGTTAGTTGATATTTTGATAAGTTAGCCAGTGGTTTCAGATTATGCTTTTTACATATTATGAGTTATATGCTTCGACCTCCCAAGAATAACTGGTGGTAGTTAATGGCTTGATTATATCGACCTTATGCTCACCTAGGTTATGAGCTGTTGATCGAAACTCTGATCTATCGAGCTATTATATGATGTTATCTAATACAAAAATGTGTATTGGATAGAGGTTTTTTCTCCAGCCCAAAATTTGAGACCAACTTTTTAAAATACATGCAAAGTAATAGTTTTTTTAATTGTATTTTGATATTTATTGTCAACAACTAAAAATAGATTTTTTTTTTTTCATATAAAACAATCTCCAATTGAGTTATTTTCAAAACATAAAAAGTTCTAAATTAAATAATTTCTAAATCTGATGCACATAATAATTCTCAAAATCTCTTGAAATTACATGCATTTTGGAATTTACTTCTCAATTTTTCTCCCAAAATCAGACGTTGTGGATCAGGTAATTTCTGAAGAAAAAATCATAATAATTCACCGAGTATCTTAAAATTTCGTGCATCCTGAAATTTGCCTACAAAATTTATCTAATGTAATCATTTGCATGAATCATAATGTATTTATACAGAATTTACCTATTAATAAATAAAATTCAAAAATTAGAAGAGTTACAAATTAGGATGTATTTTAAGAAGGATACACAATGATTAATCGAGTTTTCTCAAAATTACATGCATTCTATAGTTAAATTATCAATATTTTTCTACCATTTCTTAAAATGTTTTATATTGTATTCTTTATGGATAATCAATAATTTGATTTAATTAATTTTGAAATAATATATGTTTGGATCGAAAGACTAAATAAATTGAATAATAATGCAAAACTTTTTTATTGTGTTAATCTGTCCTTATAATAAAATATTATTTTAGATAAATTATTGTCAAAATAAACTAATTGTAAATTGTTCTAGATATAACTGTAAATAATCTAATTATAGGCTAGATTTCACGAAATTATTAAATTATTAGACAAAAATGTGTAGTACTACATTTTATTCCTTTTGCAAATTTACTAATATATAATTAATTTTCATGAATTCCTAAAAATGGAGTATGATCCCCAAAATCATCAACACGACAACACGTCCTATTATATATAATTTCATAACGCGCTAAGTTTAAGTGACACTTTGTACACTTCGTAATCTTATGTCATAAAATATTATACTTTGTAATATGACTCAATTAAAAATTACTAATTTTTTATACCAAACAGCGTAGGTTTGGACTGACATAGATACACATTTAATATATTTAAATTATTCTATATAAATTTGTTTATTATTTTCTTTCTATAATGTGTATATTATCTTACTTCCCTAATTTTATGCTTTGTCTATATTATTCTCTTATATGTTTTAAATTAAAATATTATAACTAAAACTAATGAAGTATATCAATTAGTTTTCAAAATTTAAAATAATATTGTTAATTCACTTAACTCTTTATTATAAATTGTTATGTTGTTCCTTATTTATTTTTACCAACTTCAACAGAATATATTAATATTTTTTTATTTTATTTTTTTGTTGTATATTTAATTATTTTATTAAACACCCGTGTAGTACACAGATATTGTACTAGTATGACATAAAAAAAATGAAGAGAAAAAGAAGAAGTAAAAACTATTGGTTTCACATTGTAATAAGAGCATAAATAAAAAGAAAAAAAATAACAAAAGAAGCAAAAAATATTATTTCTAGATTGCTATAATAACATAAATAAATGGAAATAAATATCAAATAAAGCAAAAACTATTAGTTTTATATTATTAAAATAACCTAAATGAAAGGAAATAAATAGCAAAAAAAAAGGGAAAAAACTATTATTTTCATGTTACTACAATAACATAAATAAATTAAAATAAAAGAGCCAAACGAAAAGCAAAAAATTATGATTTATAAATTATTATAATAACATGAGTGAAATGGAAATATAGAGCAAAAAAAGCAAAAACTGTTATTTATACATTTTTGTAATTTATAATAAAATAAATAAAATTGATATAAAAAGGCAAAAAAAAAAAAGAAGCAAAAACTACTATTTCTAAACTATTATATTAACATAAATAAAATGGAAATAAAGAGCAAAAAATCTACTATTTCTAAATTATTATAATAACATAAGTAAAATGGAACAAAAAAGAGAAAAGAAAATATTTTTATATTATAGTAATACCGACTATTTTTATGGGCCCGTGTATGTAGAAACTCGTCGTCCTCCTCCGCTCTTTCCTCTGTAAAAATTCCCAATCTCATCGGAAGCTCCATTTTCAATTTCTTGATCGATCGCATCAACCAGAAACCCTAAAACCCCAAAACCTCCTCTCCTTTTCCATTTAGTCCCTTTTTTCAATTCCAAAATTCACTTCAAATCGAATCCCAATCTCGCGCTGATTGATCGATCGATCGAAAAGCGGAGTAAAAAAAAAAAAATTCCAAGATCGGGTATGGAGCCTCCGAAGTTCAAGAGATTAAGGAAATACCAGCAGAAGGATCGGGTCAGACCCGATCCGGACCGGCTGAGCTCCCTACCCGACAGCATCCTGGCCCACGTGCTGTCCTTTCTCGACACGAGATCCGCCGTCCGGACCTCCGTCCTCTCCCGGCGGTACCGCCTCCTCTGGACCCTGTCGCCGTCGCTGGACTTCTCCTTCTCCGACTACCAGTCCGAACGGTACGAATCCTACGACGGCCGCGCTTTCTCTCCGGTCAAGAACACGAGCCTCGCCTCCTTCGAGTCGTACGTGAACCGTATTCTTCACCTGAGGGAGCACAGCAACCTCGTGCAGTTCAGAATGTCGCTGCACAAGGACGTCACCTCCGAATTCATGGCCGGCTGCATTGACTATGCCGCCAGGCACAAGGTGCAGCACTTGAGGTTACGAGGTTTTGTGAAGCAGAACCCAGTTGCATTGCCCGGAATCTTGATTAATTCGTCGATTTTGATGTCCCTGCATCTGAACAATGCGACTAGCAACAGTATTGAGCTGCCCAGGTCAGTTCACCTGCCGGGGCTGAAGCTCCTGCGCCTCAAGAATTTCGAGTTCTGTGACACGAATTTCAATGGGGAGGTTTTCACGGGGTGCCCGAATCTCGAGACCCTGTTTTTAGGGAAATGCTCGATCAGGCCCGGGAATAAGCTCAAGGTTTTGGATGTGAGGTGTTTGAAGCTCAAAAGCTTGGAGATAAGGTGCTGGAGGAGCCCTTGGAAATGCTTTGACGAGCAAGTGATCAACGTGTGGGCCCCACGACTCGGGTACTTTTCGTTCCAGGGCCATCTGGCTCGGGTGAATTTCGAGGGAGGCTTGCCGTGTGTTGGAGAAGCTTGCATAGATTTGTCCTTCCCCACGGCTTGCTCTATGGTGAATGCGGGTGATAGAAAGGGGAAAACTCTGGAGGGTTTTCTGGACATGCTTCGGCAGATATGCAACGTGAAATGTCTGGCTTTATCGTTGAGGACATTTGAGGTATTGTTGTAAATTCATTTTGATGTAAATCAACAGAGTTTGTGAACCTTTTGTGAGTTTCAGCCTTTCAGGGCATTGAAATATGAAGTAATTGTCTTTGAACTTTTGTTTTTTGTGATAGTGGTTGACCAGAATGCCATATTCAATGACCAAGAAAGAATAATAATAATAATAATGTTGAAGTTGAAATATGGACCTGGTTGTATTAGTCAGACCAAGAGAGTTAAATTGTTTAGAATTTCAAAAAGAAAAAAAAAATGAATGTTGGTGTGTGTGTGCTAACTTATGTATGTATTTTGGAATTTCTCAGGTTATGGCTGCACCTCATGATTTACAAGGCCGTGCGCCTATAATTTTTGAGAATTTGAGGCTTTTGAGGTTCATAGCTAGGAATAAGTATACGGAGGTGAAATTGCCTGTGGAAACTGTTATGCGATTGCTAGATAAGGTTGCCAATGATGTCTTGATATTTAACAGTTCTAAGGTACTATGGTCTATGCTCGTCTTTCAAAACATTTTTTTTGTTTTCAGTTTCATGTGAGTCACTAGGCAAGTTATGTAGCAGCATGCTCGACTTAAACCCCTACCCTACATCACTAGGTCACATTTGGAGGGTGGCTTTTTCTAACATTTCTTGTTTATTGGATGCTTGATTGCCGGTTTTGAGTTTGTATATTTTGTTTCAGTTTCTAAATGATATTTTATATGCACATTTTGATTGCCAGAAAAAGAAACACTCGCCTGAGTCCTCAAAGGCCAAGAAAAAGAAGAGAAGAAAATTAGCCGTCCCGACTCATGTGATGCACTTCCTATTACAAAGTTCACCATCTTTGGAACTTTTCGGTGTTCAAATACCAAAGGTACTTGATTTCTTTTAAGAAAATTGAAAGCCTAATAGAATTTGATTTTTAGTTTATAGTGACACGAGTGTATATGTCATACTTGAATTTCAGGAATCACCGGGTCAAGATTGAAAAGGATAAAAGATAAGTGCAAAGTATGGGTGTTTGAAGTTTGTTTTGGCCTTTCCTTGTCCTTGTAATTCATTTTGTGTAGTTTAGTAGTAGTACAAGACTCATGTATGCTTGTTGGTGCTTGTACATTATTTTGGACATTGTCTTTTTAGATTTCTTGAACCGAGTTTGTACTTGTTACAGCTCAACTCAAGTGCTGAAAACCACCTATACCAGTGTTGTTGTATTTTGTGTAAAGGATAAAATGGATTGGGAAATATCATTATTTTACAGGGATTGTAGAAGTCTTTCATTACTAAC